CTGAGTTACCCAAGATTGGGAACCACTGCAATACAGGAATGACTGTCACAGTGGCTATATATTATGTCCAAAACCAGAGGCAGGTTGCCATTTAATGTTAGTTGTCAAGGAACACAAACAAAAGGGTACTGTTGTTGTCATGTCTTAATTGTGAAATTCTCAGACCTATGTCGTTGGCTGCTGTGTCAGTGCAGTAATGAACTAGATATTAATTTGGTCTAATCCATCAGGGTTCATTTTACATTTTGTACCATTGCTGAATGATGAGCCAACACATAGGTAAGATCCATTGATTGAATGAGTAGATTCCATTTGGACTATCAGTTGGATTAAGGCATATGTCCTTGTAAATGTTTAGAGGTAAATGTTGCTGTGTCTACATACATAAGAGATACCCACTGTGGCATAGTGGATGTAGTCATGGACAAAGACTGAGGATGTCTGCGTTTGAATCCCCATTCAACCATAGAAGTTCATTGAGGATGTGGAACAGGTAAAACCACTCCTCGGATGTCTCACTCGCCTTGAAAGCCCTATTAGGGTGGCTGTAAGTCAGTTCCAACTTGATGGCACATCAGAACAACACTAAACTCCCAATACAACGTGTCCCCATCAAACTCTCCAATCCATTTACATCTAAAATTGAAAGGAAGAAAAACACAGCTGATGTTTCCCTTCAATTTTAGATGCAAATGGATGAGAGAATAAACTCACAGGTGGATGATGAACAAAGAAAGTTCTTGGTTATTTCAATTTATATGAAACTTTCAAAATAGTTGCTAAATAAATTAAACTTACATTTAAAAGAATTAATCTGATTTGAATAAGTTTCATCCTTCCCCAGTCTAGTAAAGTGTGTTATTATTAGTGATAGAAGAATATACAGTTTTATTTCCCTCACATTTTAGCAATGCATGTTGAAGTTTTGCTCCCATGCTTCATAAAAATGTTTTGTCCAGGCAATTATTAAAAAAGTAGAAAAGTTATCAGGGCATCCTTCAGTTTCTGTTTGTGGACTGGGAATCCAGTGCCATGTTGGTCTATGTATCAGGTGGCAAAATAATCTACCTGACCCTTGCCTGACCCTACTCATTTGTGTTTAAGATCATTGTTTCTTATAGATACATATGTTTGCAATGTATCTGATTAGGATTAAGATACAGTTTAGACATGCTTCTATAATTGATAGTGACGTGTCTTGTCTGATTGCTTCTGCTTTTTACAATGTCTTGCAAAGATGACCTATGACATCTTCTCTCTCTCTCCCTCTCTCTTTCTCTCGTAAAACTGTAGATACAGTTTAGACATGCTTCTATAATTGGTAGTGACGTGTCTTGTAAGATTCCTTCTGCTTTTTACAGTGTCTTGCAAAGATAACCTATGACTTCTTCTCTCTCTCTCCCTCTCCCTCTCTCTCTTGTAAAACTGTACAATACCCTGTTTCCCTAAAATAAGACCTAACCTGAAAATAAGTCCTAGTTAAGTGAAACCCCGCCCTCCACCATTGTGCAGCAACCAGAAGAAGATGGCATGACTGTATTTGAATAAATGTAGATTGTTGTACATGAAAACAAATAAAACATCCCCTGAAAATAAGCCCTAATGCGTTTTTGAAGCAAAAATTAATATAAGACCCTGTCTTATTTTTGGGGAAACAGGGTAAAAACTTCAAAACATTATATAGCATTACATTCTGTTAAAAACAATTAAACATGAATGAAGATTAAAATCAATTCTAAAAACATTTCAAAATATCTAAATTTTATAAATATTTTAAATGCTTTTAGAAATGTTTATAAATTTTTTAAAAATGTTTCATTCTCTTAGGACAGTGATGGTGAAACTATGGCACGTGTGTCACAGCTGACACACAGAGCCCTGTCTGCGGGCACGCAAGCCAAAAGTTGCAGGATCCCCCCCCCCCCCCCCGCAAACACACGCAGGGGGCGCCGCG